CTTACTGACTAACATATACATTTAGGCTATAAGACAACATGCAGATATTTACTGGGTGCTTCTTGTAAGATAATGTAAAATTAAAAATTAAATTTTTTGCATTTAGTATTACAAATAAATCTGGGTAATTATTATGCATGCGATAACGAGTAAAAAGTGTGATCCATCGTGGCATTGTATGAATAATGTGACTACGGTGTATGAACTCTGCGCCAATCACAATAATTATGAAATAAACATACCGCGCATCCGCAGATTCGGCAAAAATTTGCCATGTGGGCTATGCTTAAGGCTGTTTAGTTAATTGCCAAATCTATAAAGACATTTTACGTTTGTTTAGTTCAGTGCTCCGCAACCGGTGTGCCATGAGTAGGATATAGGTGTGCCGCAATCAAATACATGTATTTGACATTTTGCAATTTTTTTATCATGTATTTAATACACAATGACAATTTTTTTCCTTAATAATGTCTATTTTAAATGTTTTTATATTTCACTGTTTGTGTGGTTGTGTGTGTGATTGTAAGTGTGTCAGCATTTGAATTTTTTCGGCACTTCCTTGATAACTCGGAACTCTTTGGTGTGCCACGAAATTCCAGAAAGATTTTTTGTGCGTCGCAGGTGAGAAAAGGTTGCGGAGCACTGGTTTAGTTGACTAAGTTTTGCTTTCCCTATTCATACTTTTTACTTCAGTAGAAGAGACACCAAAAGACGAGATTTTTCACTCTTTCCCCGATCAAGCAATCGCTAGCAATAAATTAAATATCTTCTTTGGCATTATGAAATACTAGCCTAACGAAAGCCAGAAAATGTATATGTACATCTTTATTTATTTCAGAGATTAATAAACTTGTGATGTGGAGAACGGTAAGCCCAGCGTATCTTATGACGTGAAAGACTGGCTTGGCAGATTAAAAGGAAGGCTTGTGGTTCACAACGCTGCATGTAGGAAATCGGTTAGGGTCTGCATTTTCTTTCGTAATTCTATGCTTACGTTAACTGAATTTAGGTCTAGAGATCTGAGAGCCGTATAAAGAAAGTGATACTCTTTCAATTGATCTGGCTGGTGAAGTTGTCTTCTAAGAGAGAGAGAACATTCTTAGAAAGATCATGTGGAAAAATTATTTTTCTAAAATTCTGAAACAAAGTATATATCTGTCGCATGTCTACAGCTATTTTAATGATAATTGGATCAACCGCAGAGACATGCTAAGCACAGGGTATTTTTGTGGTTGGTCCAATTTCTGTGGCCGGTCCAGTCTGTTCAGTAAAAGTAGATGGAAACAAGTGTGTTAGATTTTAAAACTTTTCTCTATCTTGATACAAATTAATACTTTATATTTTAGAACATTTTCTTTGATCATGGATCTATGAGAATTTTTGTATATAACCATTGGAAAAGAGGCATTATTACTATATTATGAATGCATTTCACAACCTCATATTATTGCGAGTTCTCTTTTTATATTATTATTGCGAGTTCTCTTTTTATATTATTATTGCGAGTTCTCTTTTTATATTCGATCTTATAGATACCGGATACGCAGGTCACTTTGTAGCAACTCGGAAGCAGAAATAATTAAGAATGCATCTAAAGAAAAAAATCTGCATCGATATTTTTTAATTCGGCATAACAGCTATGCAGTCTGAAAATCGATTTAAAGAACGCCAGTAAAACCAGCGTGAAGAATTAATTGTTAAAATGTTTACGAAACACGCAATACAAAACGGTTAAATATTGCAAAAAGAGTGCAAGTGAAGAATTTAAAAAATAAAAATATCATTAATCATGAATTCAAAAACAAGACTGAAAAATTAATATACACATTTTAAATTGTAAAAACTGCAGTCTAAACTAATTATTGCAATGATTCAATAAACTATAAGGGAATTTATGCTTAAAGAATAATCCAAACAGGATAGCATGATCAATTATAAAGTAAAACGAAAGAGAAACTGAACTTACACTGTTTATAATTTCTTCTCAGTTGAGAAGAAATCAATAAAAAAAGGTAGATTTAATTTATTTATTTAAATAAAAAGACTGTTGTTTTTAATTTAGCTGTACAATTAATAAGCCATGAAATCTTTGAAAACGTAAATATTTTCAACCTCTATGACGATGATGTATCTGGTTGTATCGAAAGTTTTCCTCCAAAAATCGTCCTTAATAAAGTTAGAAAAAGACATGAAAGCGGTATCTTTAGTGCGGGTAGTGGTCATTATACAAATCTATGGTTTTCCGTCAACGTTTTCGTAGTTTTTCAAAGCCTTTCGCCCTGAAATTTAGTGGCCGCGACTCCAAAAACAGATCAACCTCATTTCAGACGTCTTGTGCAGAATGGAAGATAGCACTAGCAAGATATAGCTGCAGGTCTGAAAAACGGTAGCACCAGCAAGATATAGCTGAAAAAGTCTGAAGTCTGAAGGAGCTATGTCGGGGTCATATGGTGAGTGTGGCAAAAGATACCATTCAAGAAACTGACAATACCAGTCACATGGGATTACAGGATGTGTGTACCATAGTCACATGTGTATCCTGTCCATGTCCTATGTGACTACAGGATAGGACACTGTCTAACATTTTTTAGATCCCTATAGTTAATTTCTCTAATTTATAGTAAATCATGAAGCTCTGTTCCTTTTGGAAATTCATGACAACGGCAGCTACGGGGCTTTTGATTATCAATCATTACAGCTAGACAGATTTCAACTTTCCCGAATTTTTATGTCTTGCATGAGAGGATGGGCATAGTTACTATTTGACATGCATAGAGTATTTTCTGGCATCAACAGAATACCTGGAATTTTATTATCTTGTAAATTAATAACACAATATAAAAGATTAAAAAAATTTTCCTTAATAATGAAAAATGTCTTTAAAGAAGATCATGTGTCATTAAGATCATGTTCACACTGTATTATATAAAATATATTTTTTCTTTTGCAATTATTAAAACAGCTATAATAACCACTCGTAATAAAATATATAGGGGTTACCCTTTATTCCCGAGTTTTCTCTTATTTGATGTTTCAAAGTAGACAGTTTGGATAGTATAGCCCATCACGGCGATAAAAGCATTATCGACAGGAAATGATTCCGGTGGCATAATAACTAGTAACATTTGGTATATTGAGAACTGAGGGTTCAGAACCCACTTGTTTAAAATATTACGTTTAAGCTATATGTATCTTTAAAAGCTGATGTATGTAAATTATTTCATTCCTCTTTTGATCAGAATTATTTCGTCCCTCTTTTGATCTTAATGAAATAATAACGCTTATTTTTTTAACCTAATTTCAAACTGCTTTAATTTAACTTTCACATGTTGGCGGTTTGCCAGTATGGTTTTAATATCTTCTGTTATCTTTATAAATTCTTTTAATACCATTTCATAATTTTTTCTATTATCAAAATACATAATGCTTTTTAAAATGCATAGCGGGGGAAAAGAAGAGGGAAATTTTCCCATCTTTTCCAATAAGAATGTTCATTTTGTTCATATTATCAGGTATTTTCTCCCTCCTTTCTGCATGCCTTCGTGGTGCAACGGGGGCACTTTTGAGAGGTCCAAGTTCGAATCCTGCTAGGGCATTGCACATTTTTCATATCTTTTTCTTCAAAATCCTAATGACTCTAGGCAGTTCATTAAAATGGTTTGTGGGAAAAAATAGAAAATATATAACATGTAAACAATATATGCAAACTTAAAATAATTGGTAAAGAAGAGTAAATTAAAACAAATCTTGAAAATCAAGTTATTTTCCCAGAAATGCTTCAAAACATTCAATCGAGTTTCTAAATACTAAAATATGAATAGTTTCGAAAGTAATGATTTCGAAATAAATAGCTTCTTTACCTCTTTAGCATTATTAATTAATTTCTGATAGTTTTCTCAAAGGGAATTACATTAGCTTTAATAATCTAGAAATTTCTACATACAGTTTTTATTTTTTGTACTTTAAATTGTAAACTTTTCCATTTTAATCTTTCCTCTGAGATGTAAATCCACGAGATATGAATTATGTATGATGTATGTTATGAATTCGTATTACAGAAAAAATATGAATTCAGCGATCAAAAGGTATAGCGTCCAGTTCTATGCATAAGTTGAAAAAAAGTATATAAGACAAAAATTTGTAGCTATTTATAATTCATAAATCATTCCTCAAAAATTTTTATAATTTATCCTAAAAAATACCCATCTTTTTTTTATTCTAAAATTTCTGATAGAAATTCTAAAAATCTGTTTTCGTATTCAAAGCAAACTGATGCCTATACATATATATGTTTGCAGGGGATTAAAGGAGAAGTTATAAAGGTGAGTATTACATTAGTGATACTGGGTAAAATCCAATGAAATTAAATAAGTGAATAGCAGAATGTCAATGTCAATGTTTTAAAATAATCCCCAAGGATTGGATGTTGCTACATAACAATATACATATGACCTGGAGTCATACTCTCTGAATTATTATTACTACTGTTCTCTGAATCATTATTAACTATTATTACTTTGAATTATTATTAACAAGACCTAGTTCTCCAGTTTTTTTTTTTTTTTTCCAAACAAGAAAATGTTAAAATCAGTAACAGTTAAAAGTAATAAAATAAATAAAATACTTCTGTTTCGAACTAATTTCTAACTTCGCTTTAGATCTGATTTCTAATACAAAGTCCATTATTTAAATAAAATGGCCGAACAAAGATTTCTCACTTTCCGTGTTTCAAAAACAATACCCCGCAAATCATCAATCTTTAACATCTCAATTATCATATCAAAAACCAGTGGGCAATCTCCTAAACATGTAAATCTGTCGTAGTAACGACCGATAGATCGCTTCATTGGTCAAAAGATCCTCCGGCACACATCAGAAGCGAGCCACTGATTGGTCGCGCCGTCATGGCTGAGTGGCCATTCTCGAGCGAGATATTATTCGAACAGATTGCCAGATTGCAAAATTCTAAAAGCCTAAGCAGACGACATATCTCTGGACAATGCTGCTGCCATTTTTAGTATTTTATTTGAAAGAAAAACGTATTTTGATGACGCTTTTATAATCAATAATGTCATGATGTGATACATATTTATCCCAGATGGACTTTCGTGAAAAATATTTATTTTATTTTACAAAATTTTTCTATGGTGAAAAATTTAATTTCTAAACTCGAAGTGGCGTCCGAGTGATTCCGATTCTTTTGCCGCTAGCCTGGCTCGGATATGACAAGTCCAGGTAAGGATTTTATTGAATTTTGATAAGAGGATATTTGATTAATATTTTCTTCTTTTTATGTTGTTTTAATGTTGTCTTGAACAGAAAAGTTTCATCGAAAAAACTGTAAAGACTTTTTTAAACTTATATTATAAAGGTTATTTTCAGAAAAAGGTTCAAATAAATTATTTGCGTTATATATATGAATATATGTTAATTACGTTACACAGAGACTTTCGAAACCTATATGAAGAAAATAAATATAGAAATAAAAGTAAAAGAAGACGAAAAAATATCTGCAAAGTGTACTGAATCTAAACGAATATATATCGAAAGTGAAAATTTTTGAGAAATCTGGTAATATTTACTTTTTTAAATAGCAACTTTCTCAGAGAAAACGTCCCTTCTCACAAAATTTGCATACTTATAAGTTAACACTATCCAGGGCATAATAGAGGAAAAAAATTGAAAACTGAAATTTATAATTTTTATCATACATAATTTTTACTTTTTAAACACGTTTGTTTACATTTTATATACCTAGCTCAAATTTATTATTTATTTTATTTTTATTTTCTTCATATATATGTCTGCGGTCTCTCTGTGTAATGTAATTAATATTGTCGAAATATCTCTGTTCTTTTCTGTCCGTGAGAAAAATCATCTTACTGATTTTTTTTTTAAATTTCGGTTTATGCTCTCTCTCTCTCTCTATATATATATATATGTGTGTATTAATCTTAAGGATTTTTTATATAATAAAGTTTACACATGTAAAAATTTTATATTAAACATTTTTTATACATTACTTTTGTATATGTATAAAGCTCTAATATGCATTTGAGAGATAAAATACTGTAGCCCAACTGAATGAAAAGATTGAATGATTTTTAGGGAATTTCATGAATTCAAACGTTATCAGCAGGATGTGTTGTTGCATTAGATATAGCAGGTTCATTGAAATTTTTTGGAAGCGTAGTAAAATATGCTTCTGTATTATCATTAATCTCATTTTTGGAATGCAAACGACGGCTACGTAAATTTTGTTTTAGATTAAAAAATAACCAAAAGTCACATATATAGCATGATCAGGAGAATAGGGTGGATGTTCTATCACTTTAATGTGTTTTTATTCAAGAAATTCGATTGTCAATCTTGCGGAATGAAAAGATGCATTATCATGGTGAAGTACGAGTCTCCTAATTTTCATTTCTTAAAGAACTTCTGGAAGACACTTAGTGGTTGAACCAGTTAACGGTAACTTTTTTCTGTCCCTCTAATTTCGAGTGCATTGACGCGTTCATTATCCTTGATTTAGTCCCATTTATTTGAAAGAAAGCCGAAGTATTTGAATGCCATAGTTAATTATAATGCGGTAATGTTCTTGCGTTAACTCTTTTCCTTTCTTTCAAAATGTATTCTGTGATGAATAAATTACAATCATTGCCCCAAATTATCGTCTGCGGATATCAAAGAGTTCAAATTTACATATCTAGCAAATAATTTTCTTTTAGATCATGTTGTCGGCTTCTGTATGAAAAAATCTAGAGTTATCTACGTATTAAACTTTTAGCATCTTTCAAACATAAACAATTATATTTAGTTGTTGGAGGTCTTTCGATAGGGTAATGTCTTTATAGCTTTTACATGAGAATTGGAAAAAAAAGCCCTTCTTCGAGAAAACGAATAAGAAATAGAAAATTGTTCAGTTGCCATTCTGAAAAGGTTAAATTTTTAATTAAAGTCATATAAATGAGGTAACCGGTAAGCTAATGAAAACATTAGAATATCAGTTCATTAGATTTTTCTCATGCATTTCTGTCAGGTAACATCCCTTTCATAATCATCATTATAATTGTTGTTGTTATTACGACAGTTTTTACATTTTGCAATGCAGGATAAAAAGAAACACCTAGGAAATTTTGGTTTCTTAATTATAAACTCTTTCCCGAACTTTCAAAATTCCTCTTGATTTATAAATCTCTTCCATTAAATTTAAACAAGCAGAAATCGATTGTTTTATTCCTAATTTTGTTTTAATAATTCATAGAGAATCGTTTTATGTTTTGACTATTTTTAATTTTTTATTTCTTTCATTTTTTTATAGACTGAAAATTTCATAGCTTGACTAATATAACATTCGCTTAAAAAATATTACTGAAGAAATTAATTAATGGAAACAATAAAACTTAACAATAAAACCCCTAAATTAAAATGCAGGAAATTAATGAAATATATTAACAGTCCGAAGTTTTATTTAACTAACTGCGCATAAGAATGCGTAATTCCGTAGGCAAAATGCACAGTTTTCTGTAAAACTGTGATAACGTATTAAGCATAATTTCTGCAATATGAAATAGTTGCTGATTCAACAGTTATTCATGTAATAATTTATATAAAGTTATATAATAATTTAAATAAATAAGTCGATAAATAGTAACGTGTTTTCATATGGTTCTGACTAAGAACGTGAAAGGAAATTTTTTCCCTTCTTCATTTAATAGTACTACGTTTCGATTCATCAAAAGGAAAACAGCGTAAAAGTAGAACTCTAGCAAAAATAATATTTTAAAGATATTACCTTGTACAGCTGCTTCCTCTTCTCCCGGTGTCGGGAACATGAAAAATCAGCTATGGCTTCTGTACAATTCGAATTGTTTATTTTCCAATTGATAATTGTATATGCTACTACTTACACCACAAAAGTACGCATGGGGAAGGGTGACAATACTTTATATTCTACCGCCACTTAAAGGGCAAAGGGTAAAAGAAGAACGAGATTCAGTCGGCCGAATTCAGATGGCTGAAATTTTCATTCATTACATTTAAGTTCGAGCGCCATTATAAAGCTATTAGGTTTTTCCAGAACGAAAAATAATAAAATAAACTATGTCTTCTCCGGTATTCGAACTCCAGTTCTTCCGATGCTGGAACGTGCTACCAGTTACAGCATGAAAGTATGCATTGGTAAAGACGATATTTTCTTTTATTTTTAAAAATGTATATCATATATCTCATAATAAAATTGTGGTATGTTAAATAACTAAGTTTTGCGTTATTTTAAACAAAATATAGACTTTATTTTTTAAATAAATTATACAATAATTTTCTGTAAAGCATCGTTTTCTGTGATGTTTTAGTTGTTCTCAACAGCAAGAGTGAGTTGCTTGTGGATAACTAAATGTCTCAGAAGATCCTAGTTGCGTGCGCATTATTTCACATGGAAGGTTTCTACAAATAAGCTATTAATGGATTTCAGCGATTAATTTCTCGAATTTTTAGAAATTTTATGACATTTTGTAAATACCAAAATTTTCGGCAAGAGTGCTAAATAAATTCGCAAATCTGATATATTTTTCAAATATTAATGTTAATTACCAGATACTTTGCCTGTTTAAATTGTTTCAGTATTAATTTTCATTAAAATTTGCTGAAAAAATGTACTACAAAGTAATCTCGTTTCATACTTCGAGAGAAATTTAGTTGTCTTAATTTAATCTGAATCTTTGAATTTACCCTCTTATACATCATGTGACTTCTAGAAAATAAGAAAATATCAAAATATCGTTTTCTGAAAACTAGCGTTCAAATGTTGTCTTCCACCAATAAACGGCTTCGAAAAAGAATAATTTTTTCCCTAAATTTAAAAGCACGCAAAACATTGCATGAGGTTGAGGGAATTTTTTTTTTTTTTTTAGTCCAAAGGGATTTGTCCCTGAAGGACTATTGTTTTCGTTTTGCGATTTTGCGTCGGACTCATAAACGTCGGTTCACTTTTCAAACTGTTGCCACAAAATTTTAGAGTCCTGCATTATATTTGGAAATTAAATAATGAAAAATCTGCATAAATGTATGTATATTTCTCGTATTGTGATAAAACAACGGTACATAGAGTCATCGAATTTTGAATAACGTAATCCTCCAACGAATATGAGCACGTGGAAGACCAAATTTGAAATTTGAAATTTGTTTTATGATCGATTTCCTATTTTTTAAAACTTTGCCGAATATTTGATTAACAAACTCAAGGATTTCAAAGCGAGCAATGGCAACGTTGTGCAGAAAAAAACATTTTTATCTCCAGCGCGTGAGTCTCTGTATCGGAAATTCTAAAGATATGCTCGTTTTAAAACTATTTTGCGATATTGCTGTTGCACTGGATCTTATGGTTTAAGTGCGAGGAACAGGATATTTAATAAAGAAAGGCAACACACAAAATGTTAAAAAACGCCCCTTTGGACGTAATTTAAAATCTGAAGCATTTCAGATTTTTTTTTTTTTTTTAGTGAAGTGATTGGTTAAACCTCTATCATAAGTACATAGTGCGATTGATTCACTTAAGAATTCATAATGTCATATAACAAAATACTCGAAGTAATTTTTTTCCAGTAACTAAAGTTAACAAATATTATGTATTTTTGTAGCCTTCTGTGCCATTTTTTAACAACTTTCCTTCTTTCTTACATTCAGCGGTATATGAACGTTGATTGAAATGTAGCAATGAGTTGATAAGCACGGAAGCTTAGACTTTTAATCGGATTTAAAGCATCTAGTGAACTTAAAGCCGAGATTACCTAAGGGAAAGATTTCAGGGGTAAAGGATCTCTTTTAAGGGATAAAATAAATATTACGAAAAATAAACTTTAGATGCAGTCAGAGCTTCCTTTACAGGTAACAAAGAAACGATAGATATTAGATTTTTGTTTTGTTTTATTTGTGTCAAAAAAGTCTAGGAAAACTATTGGAAGCAGCGTATGAATTATGAAATTACAAATTGTTGTTGTTGTGACTTATCTCACTTGTCTGACAGTACCATCAGAACAAGCCCACGAAATTCCTCGTGGCAAGGAATGCAAGACTGCGCCTGTCGTTGGCAAGAGCCTTGAGCACCCATACAGAGGACTGGACGACTTTGCTGAGTTCCGACCCCAATTTTGATATAGAGCAACCCGGGCGGACGGATCCGAGGTTCTCCCATCAGTCTTCACCTACCACCAGTCTCCCGACAGGCCTTTCGGCTC